TGGCCATCATCAGTGCAACCTGAAAGTAAGGAAAAACACTTTCTGAAGATACTGGAAAAATTTATGAAAGTTTGGACATTTTGGAAAATTTGAAATTTTTTTGAAATTTTTTGAAAATTATCTGAAAATCTTGGAAACTTTAATCTAAATTAATTTAAAATATTCAAAAAGAAAGAAATAATTACTAAAGAAAGTAGATTTACTCACTTCGTCAGGTTTGTACAAAGAGTCTTCTCGTTGAACATATAGGTGTAAAGGAACGAAAACATCACATTACAAATTAAAAATTAACACTTTAAAATATCGGAAGATCTTTGGTTTTTACTGGTACTCTATGCAAAGGCTGTGTCTTTTCAAATTACAATCACATCGAAAGATGTTTTTTAAGTTTAAATTAAAATGTCTTTAAATTTTGTGTGGAAGACCAACATGGTGATGAATGATGTGCAGCCATTTTGTGTATGGTTGCACGTTTTTAATTGTGGTTTCCCTTTAGAGTGACACATGACAAGTAAGTCAGTGTAACTGACAAGAGCGGGAAGTTCGAATAATAAAAGTTTATAAAATCCAAAACCATTACCAACGTTTTTTAAAACAATATTTGGAGAATTAAGATGTTTATAGTGAAAAACAACATAGCTAAGTGGTGTGACCTGTAGTGTAGATGACGAGCTAGTCGTCCACAACGTGTAGACTACCCTTATATCATCATAGAGTGGAAATAGGATATATGAGTTTAAGTTGAAATAGATGATTTTTTTTTTTAAGTAAAATAATTGAATAAATTGATTTAATTAAGATCCTCTATTGGTTTTTTTGATTTAATCCAAAAGACGTCTGTGTAAGGGGATGTAAGATCTATTAAGGTTCACCTGAGTGTTGAGACAAGAGAAGTTGTCCTGAAGTTCGTTTCTGATTTCAATGTCCTCCATAAAATCCAAACGGTTGAAGTTTTTAGAGCGAATTTCGTGAAGAATTTTCGAATTTGACCTGGGGCTGAAATTATGCTTAGTTGTCCTAATGTGTTCACCAAAGGCAGAGGTAGTTTTTGTAAGATGTTCCTGTATTCGAATCTTGAGAGGTCTGCAAGTTCGCCCAATGTAAGTGCAATTGCAGGAGTTGCAGTTTAATTTATATATTCCACTCTTGGACAGGTGATCAATTTTGTGTTTGGAGTTGACCAGAAAGGAAGACAGGTTATTTTTGGATTTGAAAGAGATTCTGATGTTGTTGTTGACATTTTGGTGAAAGACCTGTAGGATTTTAAGATTCAAATCATGATTCAAGAAAGGAATAGCAATATATTTCTCTATTGGCTTATTCAGGGTAGGAAATAACTCTTTTTTCAACTTTTATATTTAGTTTTTGTTATGAGGGTGTCAATTAAGTTTGGGTCGTATTCGTTATTATATGCTAGTTGTTTGAGAATTTTAACTTCGTTGGAATGGTCTTCTTTTGAGAGGGGTATGTTTAGTAATCTGTTAATGTAGCAATGGAAAGCTGCCAGTTTATGTTGTCGAGGGTGGTTAGAACTTTCAGGGATGGTGTGATCAGTTTGTGTCGGTTTTCTAAATATTGAAAAATTGAGTTGATTGAAATGTTTTTTGTGAATTGTAATGTCTAAGAAGTTGATTGAGTTATTGTGTTCAATCACGAGAGTGAATGAGATCTTAGGGTGTATTGCATTCAATTTTTGAAGGAGAAGATCAGCATGATTGTGGTTACCATCCAGAAAACAAAGACAGTCATCAACATACCTAAACCAGTGTAGAATCGCTTTATTGGAGTTAGTGATTATATGTTGGTTTTCCAAGAAATCCATGAAAAGGTCGGCCAAGAAAGGTGACAAGCAACTTCCCATGGCGAGCCCATCAGGTTGTTGATACACGGTGTTATTGAAAGAAAAATAATTTTGCAAAAGGCAATGATTCAGAAGTGAAAGTACATTGATAACAGTAGTTTCAGTAACATTTTTTGATCTTAAGAGGTCACCCACGATATTGACAGCTTCGCTCTTTGGGACGGTTGTGAAGAGATTGGTAACAACGAAGGAAACTACTAAAAAATTGTTGGGTAGATTTAAGTTGGACAATTTATTAATTAAATCGATTGAATTACTTACCCCAAATTTAGGTGAAAATGAAGATAGATTTTTAATCAAGTTGAGAATGAATGAAGAGAGAATAGCTACTGGTGTATTGGAAAAGCTTACTACTGGCCTTATTGGAGTGTCAACCTTGTGGATTTTTGAAAGTTCATACATTCTTGGTAAATTTGGATTACTTGACATGAGTGTTTTAGGAGCATTGTGTTCTAGAAAAAATTCACTGAAATGTTTTATAGGTTTGTTAGTTTTTTTAATGAAAGTGTTATGTGGATTCGACTGTAAAATCTTGAAATTATTATTCTGAAGGAAAGTTACTGCTTTAGAAATGTAATCATGTTTGTTGAGAACCACAAGGCAATTTCCCTTGTCTGCCTTTGTTACAATCAGGTCCTTATCTTTGATCTTAGTTTTGAGTTTTTTGAGCGTTTTCAAAGAATGTGAGGATATGGAGGAGTTGGTTTTCTGCAGATCTTTTTTAAGAGTGTATAAAATATTGTGCATGTCATTACGTAATGATTTTTTGATGTTGTAGTTATAAGTGATTTGTTCAATAATGACATCTAGTTCTATGGCGTACTTAAGAACGTCACTCTCAGAAAGGGGTGTGTGTAAACAGTATTTTAAGCCCAAGTTAAGGAGGGCCAGCTCGTCATCCTCAAAAACAGTGTCTGAGATGTTCTTGACTCTCTCGTGAAACTCAAAATTTGAAAATTTCCGTGGTTGGTTAGCTCTGTTTTTCTTTAAAGCATTTTTTTGTTTAATAATGGATTGTTACTTTGACTTCAACTTATCGAACTTGAGGCCCTTAGACAGGTTAACCTCATCAGAGATGTCATTCAGGAGAATGTTAAGTGATTCATTATCGAAAAAGTTCACCTAATTGTTGTTAAATTTTTTCAATTGACAATTGAGAAGATCAAGCTTTGCATAGTGTTTACATATTTCAGACCTTATAATTTTAAGTTCTAAATCATATTTAAATTTAAAGGGAACGTTATTGGAAAGTTTAACCTTGGCAAAGACAGGTGTTACTTTCTCCTTAATGCAATTGTTCAGGAACCAAATATCTAGATGTAACGCTGCTCGTCTGAGGGAAACTCTTCTGTACTGTTCAGCCAGGTCTGCCATACTGCAGTTGAATAATAATTTTTATTTACAATCATATACATGTAATGTTGACTTTACTGACTTTTAAAAAGTTCGAAAATGTCACTTTTTTGACTTTTACTTTCGGCCCACGGGTCGAAAGTTTACTTTCGACCCGCGGGCCGAAAGTAAATTAAATTTTTAAAATTTATTGTATTTTTTGAAATGTTAATTATTGTATTTTTTAGTTTTAATCCAAATGAAAATTTCAAAATTCGAATGATTGTAAATAAAATAGTATACATACCTCGGTGAAAAGTTTCATTACTGTCTCGAGATTTCAGTTAGACCGAGGCGCAGCCGAGGTCTAACTTAAATCTCTCGACAGTAATGAAACACTTTCCACCTCGGTATGTAATATACTATTTCTAGAACACAATGCTCCTAAAACACTCATGTCAAGTAATCCAAATTTACCAAGAATGTATGGACTTCCAAAAATCCACAAGGTTGACACTCCAATAAGGCCAGTAGTAAGCTTTTCCAACACACCAGTAGCTATTCTCTCTTCATTCATTCTCAACTTGATTAAAAATCTATCTTCATTTTCACCTAAATTTGGGGTAAGTAATTCAATCGATTTAATTAATAAATTGTCCAACTTAAATCTACCCAAAAATTTTTTAGTAGTTTCCTTCGATGTTACCAATCTCTTCACAACCGTCTCAAAGAGCGAAGCTGTCAATATCGTGGGTGACCTCTTAAGATCAAAAAATGTCACTGAAACTACTGTTATCAATGTACTTTCACTTCTGAATCATTGCCTTTTGCAAAATTATTTTTCTTTCAATAACACTGTGTATCAACAACCTGATGGGCTCGCCATGGGAAGTTGCTTGTCACCATTCTTGGCCGACCTTTTCATGGATTTCTTGGAAAACCAACATATAATCACTAACTCCAATAAAGAGATTCTACACTGGTTTAGGTATGTTGATGACTGTCTTTGTTTTCTGGATGGTAACCACAATCATGCTGATCTTCTCCTTCAAAAATTGAATGCAATACACCCTAAGATCTCATTCACTCTCGAGATTGAACACAATAACTCAATCAACTTCTTAGACATTACAATTCACAAAAAACATTTCAATCAACTCAATTTTTCAATATTTAGAAAACCGACACAAACTGATCACACCATCCCTGAAAGTTCTAACCACCCTCGACAACATAAACTGGCAGCTTTCCATTGCTACATTAAGAGCATTGATCACCTGCAATATACCCCATATTTTATTCCAGGAATTGCATCAAAACTAAAACATTAAATAAAACAAAAATTTGGCTATATATTCTAAATTCATTGAAAAATGAGGGAAAGTTATTTTGAAAATTTTAAAAAAACATTTTTTTCAAAAAAATTTCGCATATTTTTGTTTTCGTGTTTAAATAGACTTTCCCTCATTCTTCATTATGTTTTGAATAATTTATCTAACAACAAGTTTTTGATGGAAATCCTATTTTCTTCTAAAACCCTAGAAATCTAAAAATGGTTGGATTTCGGAAAAAAAATTACATTTTATACAACTTAAAATATAATCTGGCATCACCACACAACCCTTGGTTTGGCGCGCGGCGACGCCCGGTCGCCCCGTACTTGTTTAGGAAGCGATCTATTTTTAGAATTTGTAATTTGTCTGCAAGTGCCTTTGTAGAGGATATTCATTTTCTTGATAATTCGATTTTCGGTATCATTGTTCGTTCAGTCTAGCAGCATGGGACGGACTAGGAAAAATGAAAAGTTATGTGGCAGAAAACGATTATGTACATCAACATTTCGCAAGAACAGACGACTTGCGATGGAAAAGCGGTAATAAGATATAATAATATCTGCAGAAAACTGAATGAAGGTAATGATGTAAGTATACGTTTATTTATTGAATTTTATAGTAATCGTCCACGGGAATATGAACTCATTCGTGAACCATTTGAGGATGAAGAAAATGAAAATATTGATAGGCGCGTAGAAAATTCTATGGGGTAAATAAATTTGGTTGTAAATTCTACGGATTTATAAAACAAATAATAATTTTTTAGCCTAGTTAACAATAGAAGCCCATTACCTAGAGAATTAGGTAACATGGAGCTTGACATAGAGTCAGAAAATGAAGGAACAAATAATGAAAAGTAATAGTAGCTTCCATAAAAATTAAAAAGCTTTACAACTGATAATATTAACAAATAAAAAACCTTTTAGGAGCCAGTCTGAGTTATTGGAGGGTAGGAGATTATTTAATGTTCAGCATTTATTTAATCAGATTTTAAATGGAGAAAGGCATGGGCCATTTGACTGCTCTTTGGTTGATATGAGAATTATCAACGAAAACAGAAGCGGCTTGTATAGTGAATATACTTTACAATGTCAAATGTGTCTAGTTACAAAGATTATCACCAGTGAAGAAAAATCACATTCTAAACTGGACGTTAACTCCTCTATGGTTTTGGGTACCTTATCTGCTGGGCTTGGCTATTCGCAGATTAATGAAATAGCAGCTTCCCTGAATATGCCAATGATGGCTTCAAACACTTTCAATAATCATCACGAAAAAGTGGCAGAAATAATCAGAGAATCTGCTTGGAAAAGCATGGAAGAAGCAGCAGCTGAAGGAGCCAAAATAGCGATAGCGGAGGGTGAAGTAGATGCCAATGGAATCCCATGTATCACTGTGGTGACGGATGGAGCATGGGCGAAACGTTCCTATAATGTTAACTATGATGCTTCTTCTGGTGTGGTATGTTAAAAACCGTATATTATTATGGGGGCTGGTGCACTATAAGTACCTCGATATTTGCAAAAATTTCATAATTCAAAAAGTGAGAAGTAGTGTATAATATAGTTTAAAAGCCAAAAATCTGAGGATCATGCACATACTTTTTTTTTAATTGAAAACTAACTAACCCAAACCAAACCAAACAGCTGGGCACGCGCTCGTAATAAGTGCTAGTATGTTGACATTTTAAATGAAAAAGAGCAAATCCAAACTTACTGGAACTAACCTGTCCTCCTAATAATATTATAGAAAGAAAAAACCCTAAGAAAAAAGAAAAACTTTAAAAAAAGGTAACAGTTTAGTAAAAGTCCTTCACACAAATATCATGCTTCTTCTTTCTAGTTTGATCCCAAATTATTATTCTATGATCAAAAATGTTGGCGCAAATAACTAAGTATAAATTAGATTTTTTTAATATTGAGTGAATCCTCTTCTCGACCTTTGACACAGATCAATATATAATATCTATTCTTATCAGCATAATATCACAATCGCTCTGGTTAGCAGATAAAAATTCAATAAACATGAAAAGCATCATGTGGTAGATATTTGAACTGAAAGAAGAGCTAAGTGTTTTAACCATTTTTCGAAAAAAAAAAAAACATTATTGAGTAATGATAAAGCGTATAATACCTATTAAACTATTGAAGCTTGTACACTCTAACCGACAGTTACTACTGTACTGTATTGAAACTGATCAAAAACATGCAAACTAACTCAAACTAACCCGTCTTTGTTCTGCGTGCTAGTCCCTGCAAACTATTTTGAGATAAAACATAACTGTTTATAAAGAAAAAACATGATATTTTTGTGAAAAACCTTCACTAAACAATTACCAAAAAAAATGTATTGCCTCCAACGAGAATCGATAACCCAGGTCCATTCGCTGCAAAAACCGTGCGTATCCCGTATCTTAACAGGCGCAACGAAAATAGTACAATTTAAAATATTTTTGAAAAAAGTGCATTATCCGCAATTTTTATTCAAGAAATCCTTGAATAATTCTCTACTCAAACGAATTATGTGTCTATCAAACCCCAATGAGTGTGGCACTAAAGTGATAGGGCACCTAAATGATATAGTCATATAGTTAATTTAACTTTTGAGTTGTTTTTTTTTTGAAAAAAAAATTTTTTAGTGTTCATCCTCACTTTTTCGTATTTCAAAGTCCTGCAACTATAATAATATATTGTTTCCACAACTGTAAAATGTCTAGTTTTGAGGTACTTATATTTTTATAAGATAGGAATGCAAAAAATTACTATCTATTTATATTAATGGTCATTATATTATTAAACCCATCTAAATTTAAGGCTTGCATTATCGGGTACAAAACTGGAAAAATATTGTTCCTTGGTCTACGAAACAAATATTGTTCACTGTGCTCATGGTATAAAAACAAAAAAAAAAGACGTTCCAGTCCACAACTGCTACAAGAACTGGAGTGGTACATCCACGTCAATGGAAACCGACATAATATCTGAGGGTTTTCAAAAAAGTTTAGAGTTGTACAATATTAAATACACCAAAATGGTTGGAGATGGAGACTCTTCAGTATACAGAAAGCTTTTGCAAATAAAACCATATGGTAATTTATTGGTCCAAAAAGTGGAATGTAAAAATCACTTGCTTAGAAATTTTGCAAAGAAAATACGAGAAGTTTGCAGTAAGTATAATCTCGATTATGGAAGAAGACCCTGAAGTATTCGTGAGTTTTTTATTTTATTTTATTTGTTTGGGTAAAAACCGCAGTAATTCTAAAAATTTACCTGTCCCGTTGGCACTTGGAAAGGAGATTTTCAGTAGGTTTATGAGATTGAGAACTGCAATAACGAAGGCTACTACGTATAGAATAGCTGAACAGACAACAATGGACAAAAAAATAGCATTACTGAGGGGTGATATCTACAATGCACCAAGTCACATATTTGGTGAGCACGCCAGATGCAAGGAAATACAGTATTTCAAATGCGAAAAAGAAAATGAACACAATCTCGTTCCAAGTATGCAAGACTGTGGAATTTACGAAGATATTATAGTAGCTTTGCAAAGAGTTGTTGATAACACCAGCAGCTTAATCTTGAATATGGACAACAATCTTGCGGAGCATTATAATAGTGTTGTATGCAAATTTGTTGGTGGCATACGCATACTTTTTTCGAAGAGAGGCTCCTACCAAACGCGTTGTGAGGCTGCTGCGTTATCTTTTAATTCTGGTGGAAATTATTACAGATTTCTTCACGAAACTGTTGGCTCAAGTCCTCAACGTTATACGAAAAAATATGTAGAGAAATGCAAGAAAAATAGGCTAATCATTAAAAAAAGGATATTTTCCAAAAAAAGAACAAAAATTATCAAACAGTCTCTCGCGGATAAGGATTATGGTTCTAATGCTCACTATATACCTTTGGATTTAACTAGTGATATTTACATAGAAAAGGAAAAAGCATTTTTGCAGGAGCTAAGAAAAGATCCGGAGGAAATAAGTGACATTCAAAAATCCACTATAGGTCAGGCCTTCAACCCAAAATGGTTACAAGAAAGGTCACTTAGAATCACAGCCTCAAATTTCGGTAAAATTTGTAAGATGCGACCAAAAACTTCACCGAGGAACACCATAAAAACTTTATTATATGGAACTTTCACGGGAAATAAAGCTACAAAGTATGGCAACGAAAGTGAGGCACGAGCCATTTTAGAATTTGAAAAAAAAAACAATTTACAAGTTGTACCTTGTGGGCTGTTTATAGGGGAAAAGGAATACTATTTAGCTGCAAGCCCGGATGGTTTTGTTATAGAAAATAATTTCCTAATAGAAGTCAAATGTCCCTTCACCATCGCCAAAATGGATCCAACAGAGGGAATTCAAACAGGAAAAATTACTTTTGCCACTATAGAAGATGGAGCATTGAAATTGAAAAGAAACCATAACTACTACTATCAAGTACAAGGTCAGTTAGCTATAGCTAACAAACAGTCATGTTACTTTATTATCTGGAGTCCTTTCGGCATTTTAATTGAACAGGTAAAGTCTCTTGTCCTACCTATATCTTATAAATGGGAAATGAGATGCATCAGGAATGCGATATTACTGGATCTAATTTATTTTTTTTTAGATAAATCGAGACGAAGTATTTTGGAAAGAAAAAATGTTACCTAAATTAAGAGCATTTTATGACTATTTTCTGTTGCCAGAATTAGTAGACCCACTTTTTCCAAAAGGGCTACCTATTAGGGATCAACTTTGTAACACTAAATGCTCCAATATTCCAGACAGCTAGAAGGGATGCAATATTATTATTATTTTTTTTTTTTCAAAATATTGGACAAATCTCAGGATACAAGACAATAAGTGCCAGGGCCAGAACTCAAAATGAGTCTCACCATATATTTCTTTATTATAGACTAGCTGTATCCTGCTACTTAAATTAACCTAAACTATCCCACAGGAATCGTGCATTTTTCCGGGATAAAAAGTAGCCTATATAACACACCCCTTTATATAGAGATACCTACGTTGTTTTATTTTCAAGTCAATCGCCCCTACAATTTTATTGTTGACCAAATACATAAATTAAATTATATTTTTAAATTTAATTTAGTTTTCTTCAATGTTTCCGAAACCCCTAACTACTATTTCTCAATACTTTACTTGTGAATGTGAAGTAAAAACTCCCGTAAAAACTCTAATAAATAATAAACATAACAATAAATAATTAGATATTTATTTGAAAATATTTATAATAGCTAGTCCTGATCTGAGCTATGTCGTCGTCTAATAGGTAAATCAAATCTCGAAATCTTCTTGATCCTTTGATAATGCATGTAAAAATACGCACTGTTGCCAGCGCGTAGGAAACGGGCGACCGCGCGTGTGTTCTCGCCGGAACCCCGAATTGCATCGAATCAGCTGATGAGCAATGCTCTTAACAGATTACTAAACATACCCCTCTCAAAGAACTAGCATATAATAACGAATACGACCCAAACTTAATTGACACCCTCATAACAAAAACTAAATATAAAAGATTGAAAAAAGAGTTATTTCCTACCCTGAATAAGCCAATAGAGAAATATATTGCTATTCCTTTCTTGAATCATGATTTGAATCTTAAAATCCTACAGGTCTTTCACCAAAATGTCAACAACAACATCAGAATCTCTTTCAAATCCAAAATTAACCTGTCTTCCTTTCTGGTCAACTCCAAAGACAAAATTGATCACCTGTCCAAGAGTGGAATATATAAATTAAACTGCAACTCCTGCAATTGCACTTACATTGGGCGAACTTGCAGACCTCTCAAGATTCGAATACAGGAACATCTTACAAAAACTACCTCTGCCTTTGGTGAACACATTAGGACAACTAAGCATAATTTCAGCCCCAGGTCAAATTCGAAAATTCTTCACGAAATTCGCTCTAAAAACTTCAACCGTTTGGATTTTATGGAGGCCATTGAAATCAGAAACGAACTTCAGGACAACTTCTCTTGTCTCAACACTCAGGTGAACCTTAATAGATCTTACATCCCCTTACACAGACGTCTCTTGAATTAAATCAAAAAAACCAATAGAAGATCTTAATTAAATCAATTTATTCAATTATTCTTCTTAAAAAAAAAAAATCATCTATTTCAACTTAAACTCATATATCCTATTTCCACTCTATGATGATATAAGGGTAGTCTACACGTTGTGGACGACTAGCTCGTCATCGACACTACAGGTCACACCACTTAGCTATGTTGTTTTTCACTATAAACATCTTAATTCTCCAAATATTGTTTTAAAAAACGTTGGTAATGGTTTTGGATTTTATAAACTTTTATTTTTCGAACTTCCCGCTCTTGTCAGCTACACTGACTTACTTGTCATGTGTCACTCTAAAGGGAAACCACAATTAAAAACGTGCAACCATACACAAAATGGCTGCACATCATTCATCACCATGTTGGTCTTCCACACAAAATTTAAAGAAATTTTAATTTAAACTTAAAAAACATCTTTCGATGTGATTGTAATTTGAAAAGACACAGCCTTTGCATAGAGTACCAGTAAAAACCAAAGATCTTCCGATATTTTAAAGTGTTAATTTTTAATTTGTAATGTGATGTTTTCGTTCCTTTACAACTATATGTTCAACGAGAAGACTCTTTGTACAAACCTGACGAAGTGAGTAAATCTACTTTCTTTAGTCATTATTTCTTTCTTTTTGAATATTTTAAATTAATTTAGATTAAAATTTCCAAGATTTTCAGATAATTTTCAAAAAATTTCAAAAAAATTTCAAATTTTCCAAAATTTCCAAACTTTCATAAATTTTTCCAGTATCTTCAGAAAGTGTTTTTCCTTACTTTCAGGTTGCACTGATGATGGCCACGGCCGAAAGCGCTTTGCACTGATATTTATTAAAGAATTTTGCACGAAATACAAACTTTTTCATTCTTCATAACTTTAGACTTTTCTAACTTTAACATTATTGAGACACTTTTTTGAGACGGATATTTTCGTGATTTGAAAACATTCCGATCGTCGTTTGTTTTCGAGTTATCAACCAAAACTTTCTTATTTCTTATGGCGGCCATCTTCCATTCCAACAAAATAATATCTTACGAAAAAAATCCTTTAAAATGATGTATTACAAGCTATGAAAACGTTTTGCTAGTCCTTCAAAATTACAGTAGTTGGAACCGATATTTTGCTAAATTTGGCAACAATGCTCATAGTTATAAGAATAGAACCAAATAAGTATGATTTAATACCTAGAATCGGTATTTTTGAAGTCTTCTGGCAATTTTACTGGATAAAGAAAAAATAAGTAGGTAAGGTATTCCACATGTTTTTTTTTTTTGTAATGTAAACAACATGAATTACAGCTTTCCTCCTTTCTTCTTCCGGTTTTACGCGTCGGGAAAAATTATACCAATTTGGACATTCCAGATACAATTCTGTTTTTGCGTGAAGGACTGATAGGAAATTCCTATCAGTCCACGTCACAGATAAAGAAGCCAAAAAAGCGACCCATCGTAATATTATTGTCTTGATAAAAAAAAAATCGAATTTAAGAATATTTTATTAAAATAATAATACAAGGTCGAATAGACTCTCAAAGACTGAAAATCTGAAAGTGCAAAGCCGTCCTTCAGAATTCTATTTGGAATATCCCAATTGGTATAATTTTTCCCGAGGCGTAAAACCGAAAGAAGAAAGGAGGAAAAGCTGTAATTCATGTTCACATTACAAAAAAAAAAAACATGTGGAATACCTTACCTACTAATTTTTTCTTTATCCAGTAAAATTGCCAGAAGACTTCAAAAATACCGATTCTAGGTATTAAATCATACTTATTTGGTTTTATTCTTATAACTATGAGCATTGTTGCCAAATTTAGCAAAATATCGGTTCCAACTGTAATTTTGAAGGACTTGCAAAACGTTTTCATAGCTTGTAATACATCATTTTAAAGAATTTTTTTTGTAGGATATTATTTTGTTGAAATCGAAGATGGCCGCCATAAGAAATAAGAAAGTTTTGGTTGATAACTCGAAAACAAACGACGATCGGAATGTTTTCAAATCATGAAAATATCCATCTCAGAAAAGTGTCTCAATAATGTTAAAGTTAGAAAAGTTTAAAGTTAACGGTTTATGAATTATTGACAAAAAACAAAATTGGCTGTTTTCAGTTTTTCTCGGATTCCTAGGAAACAAAAAACTTTGAAGCAAATTTAACAACAGGATATAAATGAGCAATAAATTCCCTAAAACTTTCCTAATTTGAGCCACCCTGTATCTCTCATAATAAGCGAAATCCCCATGTAGAGACTCGAATTTCGGACACACAAACATAGTCTGTTAAAGATTAAAAATTGAACAACATAAAACCACTGACGATTTGGGACTTTTTATTAATTAATTTGGATGTATCGTGTTTTCCTTGTGTTTGTCCTGATGCCTTCGTATGTAAGTATATTTGAATGAAATAATTTTTGAATGTTTTGTGGAGTGTTCCTTTTTTAAATTATTTTTGTGTTAATGAACAACAACAATGTTAATTTTAAGTTGGTATGTTTTTTATTGTAGCCTTAGGCGGCCTGAGGATGGGGTGTAACTGATTGACCCCGAAACTAGTAGCCAAATACATGAGGATTGTGAGAATAGACCAATTCGTTTTTCATTTGTTTTAAGATAGACTCACATTTATCTACAATTCAACGTTTAAAAATAAAATTGTTTTTTTTTTTAACTAAATGAGTTGCTTCCCAAAAAAAAAATTCGTGAATGAAATAGTAAATAGAACTTAACACCAATTCGATTTTATAATAATTAAACTGCCCTGCGGTTCCACTCGCCGTTTAATTTGAAAGAAATCTTATCATTTATAAATATCGAGATAAATATGATTGATAGCGCAGGTATGATAAAATTGGGTTAATAGTGTAATATGAGAGTGGTAGTGGCGGCGTGGGGCCTGAAGGGGCGAGAAAAAAAATCGAGTTCCGATTGCGAAAATCACAACCATTAGAAAAAAAAACAGCAAATGTATAATATTGTAGGTACTTACAAGTTGAAAATATAATTGCAACACACACAACGAATCGCACCAATAAATTGATCTCTCAAATGTTCAATTATTATCATTTGTTGACAGAGGCTTGTGTTTCCGCAAAGATTGACAAAAAATATCACAAAACAAGCTTGCAGGATAAAGATAAACATTTTCGGGCCAGTGTGTTGTTATTCTGCTAGACTTTCTATACAGGGGTGACAATAATTTACTTAAAAAATAATAATTATGCACTGTTTCAATTATTTGTATCAACCCCGCATAATCTTTTAAACTCTTATTTTGTGCCTTAATTTGTGGCGATGGAAGTGTTTGTGTTAAAATAAAATGCCTGTTTCAAGATCCATCACGTATTTAGAAATTATAGGTATATTTTTGCCTGAGGAAGAATATTTTCGGTCTGAACAAAGGAATTTCAAAACGTGTTACATGAGGTATTTTAGAATGTCAAAATGAAATAAAATTAAATAAGTAAAAAAAATCCAGGTCCGTACTAAAAAAAATTAAGTTGATGACGGCATTGAAATACCGAAACGTCGAATTTCTGAAATAATATCACCAGAGTAAAGACTACACAAAAGTGCTTCAAGAAAGTTATCTTGATTTGTCTTGATCTCTTGAAATAAAGCCAAGAAAAAATAAAAACCAGAAACGCAATTTTCGGAACCTGTAAATTGAAAAAAAAAAGGGAAACACATCGGTATATATTTTTTGATAGAAAAAATAAATAGAAAATATCATTATCATAGATTATCACTTCCGAATGCTCTTCTTTGTTTCCCGCTTTTTCTTCATTGTATTTTCGTTTGTGTTCTTTAGAGCTTTTCTTACATAATCTAGACGTTTTTTGAAAATGTCTTTCCAAGACATATTCATTGCGAGCACATTTTCTTCCCTAGACGGTGCTCTTCCAAATTTTTTAATAAAAACGATTCGCCAGGCATCTTCTTGATTGCAGAGCTGGAAATAAGATACTTGTGAAAATCATATTGCTATAGTTTCAATTCGGTTAATGAATATATGGGTTTTTCAAAAAAATTTATGAGGGCAGGCTGATTTTTTCAGAGCTGATTGAAGACTGTGTCCTGAGTATTGAACAAACACTTGAATTTTTTTAAATGAAACCACAGAACATAGGTACCACCTCTAGAAAAGTATCTGCCATGTTACCTACCGGTTATGAATTATAGTGCCAACGTTGACTTGAAACTTAACTAATCGAGCATTCTTGACGATTTTTTGATATTTTTTTAAATAATTTTCAATGTTAAGGCTGCATTTGTTTTGCTGACTCCTTTTAGCTCTTTTCGCCTCATTTTCTTGCAAACTGTGACTGGCAGGAAGTTTCCAATTTCGAACATAGTGCAAAAAGAGTTTAAAGAGTCAGCAAGCCAAACGCAGCTATAGGTAGATCGCAAAATAAATAAGAATAATAAATACAAATTCGAAAAAAACGATACGAACGAGTAAATACAAAAAAATACGAACAAAACTTGGGGTTTTTTTCAACCAGAACTTTTTAAATTTTGACTTTAAACGCGCGTGGGATACAACAATATGGCAAGCCGTTTTACTTTTTAATTGTGAAATAAAATATAGAATTTTCTTTTGAAATTTCAATATAATAATATATTTGTAACAATTTTTATTATGCTTCAACATAATAATAATTAATTAATATTCTACCGAATGATAAATAAAATTTAAATCCCTAGGGATGCATAGGAAAAATTGAACATTATTATTATGTCTAAACATAATTTCAAATAATTGTTGAGATATAATAATAATCAATTTTTATGATCGATATTAAAATGCGACACGTTTATTTTTTTAACATATAAATATTTTGCAGTTTATATATTCAGAAAAAAATCTACAAACTATTCTGTTGGCGAATTTGTATTCGCACAATTTTCTTTCAGTTGATTTCTTATTTGAATTGTAAAAATTAAAATGATGTCGGAACATAATTTTAATTTGGCGCTTTGATAGTACGGTTCAAAGCGGCAACATAATTTCAATTCAATATATTTTCATTTTGCAATTAAAATTATGTCAGTACATAATTTGAAATGTAGAAGAAAAATGTTTCTAATTGAAACTATTTCAAAGCTTAATTTTAATTTGGCTAATTTTTATTCGAGAATTAAAATTTTTCAAAGCATAATTTTAAATCTGCACATTTTTTTTCTACAATTAAAATTATGTTTCGACAAAATTTTAATTCTCAAATAAAAATTGAATTGAATTAAAGTTATGGTTTGACATAATTTTAATTCTGCACATTTTTATTCTACAAATGAAATTATGTTTCGAAATTATTTTAATTAGGCGCTGGCGTAGCGTGGTGGTCTTTGACACTAACGGTTGGAACCTGCAGGGTGTCTATTCTCGTAACCGGGAACGGGGAACAGCGTTCTCATTACGAGGACGATTGCTCTTTCATGTTATGATACATAAAAACGTCCTTTTTTTCAAACCCGAACAAAGTTTTGTCTGCTCCCACCCAAGAGTAGGTGCAGATAAATCATGAATTTTGTGATCGTGATCTTTATCAGTTTCTCGAATTACAAACGAACAAAAAAAAATCAGCTCTTGGGACAAGTGAACGCCAATCCGCTGCTGAGATCAGATCAGCTTGGAGCAAGAAAAGCAGTACAGAGTACAGAGCCGCTTTCCAGTGACGAATTTTCAAGGTGCTCCACACCCGTAGCTTCACACTCTAGTGCTCCGAACAACTGTTGTTTCAATGGAACGCTCGCTACTTTCAGCGTCGTGTTGCACCCATAAAAATGTACAGTCGTGAGCATTACATAGATGTTTGAGAGGGCAGGGGAGAGGAAAAATGAACAGTTCAGTTGCGCGAAACTGTGAAGCACGATACTTTAGCTCTCTATTAACGAATTTGATACATTGTCAAAGTTTTGCATGGGCCAAAGTCTATAAGTATGATGTGGCTAAAGCACATTCTAACCCCTGAAAATAGAAATTTTGGTTTATTCCTTTATAAAAATGGACAAAATACAGTACATGCAGTAGGAAATAAAATTATCTATGTACCACAGGAATTATCAGGTGTTAATACCCACGGGCAATTGGTGTCCATGTCCTGGGGTATTACCACCCTCATAATTTCCTTGATGCATAAATAACAATTTTTTGACAGGTTGAAATTGAAACCAATAGAAACCTGGTACATGACGTCATTTGCACTATTGACCTAGTTTTTTTTTATTGTTTTCATTATTTACCTAGGGAGAGAAATTCAATATTTTCCTATGGTCTATTTTTTCCGAAGATAGATTTCGATATTGTCAACTTTGAAACATAAACAATGCCGCTTATCGGTCGCAAGATGTCATTTGCACGACATGCATTGTAAAACTGATGTCAACCCGCAGGAACACCTTATTTTGCCACCAATTAGGGCCAAGCGGTATTGTTTATGTTTCAAAGTTTACAATGGTCACGTTCACGATACAAACGTTGGTAAACGGTTTGCGATTGTTCTAATGAACGCTACGTTGAATTTGTGTTGAAAGTAAACATGTTTTGCAACCGGTCGTCATTTTTGCAAACATAAATAAGGTGTATATTTCCACTTTTTTGTGTTCTCTTGTGTTGTATGTGGTCGTGGTGACATGACATATCGTGGCCTCTGACGGTTTTCATTTCAAAAGCAAAAAGTGTAAAATTTGAAAAATGGCTGGAGGAAATGATGATAATAATGAATACATCCAAAAAAAAACTATCTGGTGAAGCTGCTCATGCTGAATAGAGTATAGGTAAGTGAGATGGAGAATGAAGATAAAGTATATTTTCTTGGATTCAATAACGATGAGAACGTTTCCTCTTGCAGCTTGCAGGCCAATTTCAAGACTTTTGCTAGAGCCAGCATTCAGAGTAAATTCAATAAAACAGATAGCAGATCACAGTTATCATGGTTTTGTCGATTTATCTCTATTTAATTTTTTGTGTTTTTAGACATGAATGATTCATTTAAGCTATCATGGAACACAAGTACCACAAAACTATTGATTTCAGAGTATAAAAAGAGACTCGAACAGTTTCGAAACCCGAAAATTAAAAAAAAAAAAAAACGCTATGGGAAGCCTTGCACAAATATTTCGAAAAATTGGGTATAATATTACTGTACAGGAGCTAGACTGTAAGATGAGAAATATAAAACATCACTATAAGACTACTAAAGACAATAACAAAAACAAAACTGGACGTGGCAGAATAGTATGGGAGTATTATGACATTGTAGACGAACTTTTCTTAGACGACAAAACAATAAATCATGGAAAAATATTAAATTCAATGGAATTCAGAACAAATGCTGAAGTAACTAGCAGGTCCTGTCTCCAGTTTAATATTACGCCAACATTAAAACGCCCATTTTCCTAGTTTTCACTGGATTCCAGTAACAAAACTTTAAATTCAAAACAGATGAAGGGAAATGAAAACTGTGAAGTCCTCAGTACTCCAAAATCATCAAAAATAGAGAAAAAACAATCCAATAGTACCAAAGCAACAGCTGCAAGAGGGCTGTATCGCATTAGAATCGAATATTTGGAAACTAAGAAAAGACGAGTAACTGCCATTGAAAATTTGGTCAAGGAAATATCGGAAAATAATAATATACAGAAAGAAAGAAATGAACTATTGAGAAAATACCTTGGTGAAAATTCAAGTGAAAATCAGTAGAATTGAAATTTTTTATTATAAAGTTCCCATCTATACATTAAAATAAGTGAGCTTTTTGTAATGGTGTGCCTCTTAACATTTGGTGAACAAGCTACGAAATTCTAAGAGTATTATCTACAAGCCTAAGGCTTTACTCATATTCAAATTTGAATATGATACTTTCGCTTATTATTTTGATGTTTATTTTTGTAAAGTGAGTTGCTTAAAGAAGGTTCCATGAAAAGCACGCACAACCCGTTAAAGATGTCTCATTTATTTTATTGTGCTAATACATTTTTATTTAACAATATTTATGTCTTATTTTATTATACAGGGTGACACAAGAAATAGGAAACAACCTATAACTTTTTTAATACATAAGTTGAAAATTTGAAATTTGGGGAGCTTAAACGAGGCAACTTTTTAGGTTTTTTAGGAGTAAAACCAGTCACTTCCGGTTAAACCGGAAGTGGCCATAAAAAGTTTTAGGCTGTTCCCTATTCCTTGTGTCATCCTGTATATTTACGAATATTTTCCTATTACTGCCTTATATTATTACAATACTGTGTAATTCGCCTTCTTTTTTCTTCAGCAAGAGCTATGATTCTTCTGGCCTCAGGATGATTAACATTGTCATCATCTCGGTTATTATCATTGCCTATTCCTATATCTTCCAAATTGAAGTCGTTTTCTTCACCTTCGATTATCATAATAAAATTATGCAAAACACAGGCTGCTAAAATCATCGAATTTGCTGTTTCTGGATCAGAAACGTCCAGATATTTCAGCCTTCTAAATTTCCCCTTTAAAAAAGCAAATACTGCTTCAATTATTGATCTAACACTGGATAATCTAATATTAAAAATAATTTGTTCATTCGTAAGATGGCCATTGTCCTGATAAAGTTTCATAAGGTTTATTAATAGAGGATATGCTGAGTCTCCTATGAGATGCTGATTTCTATTCAAAAGAGCGTTATCTGCTGCAGTTAACGCTTCATATAGAGCTCAATCTGAAGACTCTCGCATCGTGCATCCGACCAGGCATTCCAATTGAGGTATCAATGAATATACCATTTTTGTTACAGGTTCCTGTATAAATTGTATAATAAAAAATATAAAGAGCCAAAAACTGCCATTGAACATTGAATTTAGCTTGTGTACCTTCCTTGCAAAATTACTGAGTGGTATCCTTTTCTATTGTAAAAATCAAAAGCATTATTGATGGGCTGTTTTGTCGCCCAGGGGCTAAATTCTCCAGTTACGACT